TTCAGCCAGTGTCCTTCCCTGTCTCAGTAACGATGGCTGGCTGAGAGGCCCAGGTTAGGTCTGTGGGAAGTGGCTTTACTTGTAGCGACAAAGTTAATACTTACCCAGGAACGGTTGGGATTTTGTTGGTGTACTCTGAAGTGTAATCTAAACTGGATTTCCTGAGTTTGTAATGCTTAGTTTTGGATTAACAATTGCCTGGCAATGTTTACAACTCTAAACTGCTGATACTTGGTCTCACATATAATCCCAGTTTAATGCCCTTTTTGTCTTGGAATAGAAAGAAGGATTAATAGGAATCTGTAGCAGACGTGAGGTTTTGCATCCGTTTGGTGTCTGCAAATGGCACTGATTCAGCTTTTCTTCCTGGGAAACACTTCTGATTCCTCATGGATTTTTGGTTGTAACAGTATCCCTCAGCAACATTTTTTATCACATTAAAAATCTGGTAAATGTTGTTCTTACAGAGTGACAGTGCATAAAATCAGAATAATAAGAATAAATGAGATGAAATGGAGGAGGCTGTAGGTGTGTCCTTTACCTTTCACAGAAGCTAAAGACATGAAGTTTCATTAGAGTTTGTTGCTATGGTAAACCTTTCTCAGTAGCAAGAAACCCGAAGGAGGGAGAAGTCTCAGCTTTGCTTGAATATTTGGTGCTTCCAAAAAACTGAAGGCAGAGGCACGTGAAAGGGAAGGAAGGATGAAGACAGGAATGAGTAAGGCAAACTGGAACACTTGATTGAAATGCAGCTTCACACTGGCCAGTTGCGAATCTAGAAACAAACGGCACAAGCTGAGTGTGAGTCAGTGTGTCTGCCCAGCAAAACCAGACACTCCTGGGACTCTGCGTGTCTCTGTCACACCAAGGACCAAAGTGGGAATTCTCCATCACTTTGCTGTGTCACTTAGGACTTTTTTACTTCTGTGTGAGACTTATACCAGTAAATGCAGCAGATGGAAAGAGCATGCAAATCGCTTCGCTCTGTGGGGAAATAACTGTGAAGGGAGCTGGGGTGTGATTTCTGCCTGTGCTTATCTGTAGTACTTCACTTTCGCAGCAAAATTAACTATTTCACTTCTCAGAGGACTTCTCCCTAGCATCTCAAGAGCTGCAAATTTGTCTTTACAGCATGTTCCTGTCCTTCTGCAGAGAAAACAAAGGGCAGTTTTAACCATCTCTAGTGGCAATAAAAATGCTAAAAACATTTTGAGAGGAGCAGAGCATAAGAAAATTCCTGTAAAAGCTTTTAAATTTCTCTTGGTACTTACCTTCCTGAGGTTTTTCTCATTATCATAGACGTGACATTGCTCATGGTAAATATTTTGTTCCGTCCATTTTATGTGAACATCTTTCATAAAACATAAAAAGTGAACTTTTTGTTAATTTATAGAACAGTGAGATCTCTGTAGAAGTTACTGCATGCCTGGTACCTGTGCCTATTCTTTCTTTGTGGGAGATGAATGCTTTGGTTAGGATTTCTGTGGTTATATGCAAATATCATCAGTGATGTGTTCTTATCAATCTTTTTTCCTTTCACAAACCAAACAGATACTTCCTGAGCCTGAAACATAAGATAATAGTTGTACCAGAAGAAAAAAAATTGGAAAACAAAGGACAGATATACAGTTAGTGGATGACCTAAGTTTGATCTTCACTGGTCTCCCAGATGAGTGAGGCTGCAGGGAATAGGACATGAGCTGCTGAAACACATGCCCAATTCCTTAGTGAAACCTGCAGATAAGTGAGTGGGAAGGCTACTTACATGAATACAATACAGGCTTGAATGTCTGCAAGACAAGTCTCTTGGCAAGAAATTTGGCAGCCTTGGGATGCATTTTGTGAAAGGCCTCTCAAATGAAATGTCTTCCTTGGCCCGAAGGGTGAAGTTCCCTAGCAAAGCAGCTTCACCATCTCCCATGACTTGCTGTGCTTTCAGTGCTGGTTTAAACCTTTTCCCTTTCACTACCCAAATGCAAAAATAAGTGCAAGTAGAAAAAGTGCTCCATAACAGCTCTCTAGCCCCCAGTGTAATTCTTTAAAAAAAAAAACCCTAATGATTTTTAGTATGTGTTAGGAATGAGTCCTCCGTTCTTAAGGGTGAATCATTTCCAAACAAATCCTTCAGTTTGCTTTCTTTTTTCTTCATATGAATTTCAGGTTTTCAGGTTTTTTCTTTCATTTTTTAGCACTCTGTCATTAATATTCCCTTTGTGCAAAGAGAAATCTCTGTAGTTTCACTAGATGCCCTGTGTCATGATTTGGATATAAAGCCCTACAAATTAAAAAGTTTTTGCAGTTACTCACCTGAGCAAAGACAGGATCACACCACACCAGATTTGACCTGGACAGGGAATGTTCAGAGGCCCAGAAGCAATAAGGTCCAGCAGGGAACTTTTGAGTAGAAAATATTGCCTTTGCAAAATTGTAATTTCCCCAAGGAATCTAGAATGAAAGTTGTTACCATTTCCTGATAGTTAGTGTTCTCTTAGAGCTGGCAGAGGTGCTGTGGGCCATGTGTAGAGGCAGAGAGCTCAGATGACAGTTGGCTGTACCCTGCCCCTAGACAGGCACACCACAGCCTGTTTGTTTCTAGAAAAATCAATGGCCAGAATCACTGGAGAAACACAGGGGGGAGGTCTGAGAGAAGAAGAAATGCCTCAAGCATTTTTAACTTGTCCTCTGTGCAGTGTGAATGATGCTTAATCTGGTCAACATCTAAGAATTCTAAGCAGTGTGTTATTGCTGAGGAAGGTAGCCAAGAAGCCAAAAATTCCTAAATTTAATATTCGTCTCACTGCTGTCTACCAGCACTCTGAATGAAGTTACAGTGCAAGTTACTTTACAATCTGTGGGACCAAGGACAGCAGGGTAACGAAACAAGAAATAACAGGCATACTTAAAAAAAGAAAAAAGGTTGTGCAACAGAGGAAGCATAAAATTACAGGTGAGCTTCTAGTCAGTTATAGCAGTGTAAGCCCAAAGTCATGTCAGTAAAACTAATGGAGCTGCCTCAGGCTACAGAAAAGCAATTGAGATCAGTTTTCTCATACACTTTGGCATTTTCTGCCTCCTGAGGTACTGACTCAACCCCTGTTCCCTATGTTCAAACATTATCAGTTAAAGTGGAGGTCCTCTAGGCATGGCCCACTGCTTTGAGATGTAAAATAACTCTTTTGCTCAGCACCATTTTCTTCTATTATTTGTTAAGTCTGTTTCCTAAAAAAGACTGAAGTTGCAGTGATAAAACCTCTGTGTCTACTGAAGTGTATTTAGTTAACAGATCAGTTAGGAGCAAGGAAATAATGAGGGTTGACTGTCTGCTAGTGGAGAAGCTAGTCAGGTATTCTGAAGTTACTGAGGGAATCAATGGAAATTGCATTGATATGGGGAGGGAATTCTTGCTGGAATGCCCTGGTGAATTTTATTTTCATGCACTTGTACATAATCGGGACATCACCAGTGTAAATGCACAGCCCTTGTCTTAACAGCAGCACAGTTCATTTTCTGAGCACCAGAATGACCCTGTAAACAGCAGCACACACTTAGGTCTGTGCTGGGTCAGTGTTCCCCTCCTCGGCAACTGAATTTCTGTGGTACCATCTCATACATAGATGCAGCAACTTCAAAAAAATTCAGTTTTACAGACTGGAGTCTCCATATGCAAATCACCAGCTTGGGGGAGAAATCAAAACACAGTTTGTGTGCTAGCCTTTTCAAAAGTGTGCAGAGAAAAGGCAGGTCAAAGGCTGGGATTAGTATCCCTGCCTAGAAGAACTACTGCAAGGATCCAGCTCAGCATGAATATGAAAATTAATTGCTTTAGTTGTTAAATCAGCCTCATCCCTCTAGAAGGTGGCAGCTGGCCACTGGGATAGTGTTAGAGGCAGCAGTGGGGTCACCCAGAGTGGTGGGCTGCCTCTCTCCAGGCTGGATGCACATTGTCACTCAGTTTATCTAGGTGCCTGTGAGCACTGATAAGAAGTAACTGACTGGATTGTTAGGCTCCTGCTGGATTATTTTTTATTGCCTTGTTTGTTTGAGAAATGGTAGTGCTCAGCTTGCTCCAAGGTCCAAGAGGTTGTGTTCCCACTGGAATTCTATGTTTCTAGCTCCTGCTTTATGGATCAGGGCTGCTCTTATCTTATCCCCCAGTAAGGCAGGGGTTGCTCCTTCAGATTCATGTGTTTGCCACTATGTTGGACTTAGGCTTTTTATTTCATGCTCTTGTTTGGTTTGGCTCTGTTCATGAAACTAGGTTTGTAGTGAAGCAGGAAGGAACAGAGGAGCTGGTGAGGAAGCCTGGAACTGGGATAGTCAATTAATGTGAGATGTGTGGGGACTTGAGCTAGTGGAAATATTAGTTAGAAGTGTGATGAGTTAGGTATAACAGCTGTCCCTAAACAAGCATTGTGCCTTGCAGAGCAAGTCAGCCAGTGGAGGAATGACGTGGGAATCTTGCTATAGCCATGTTAACCTAAAGCTGCCTGTGCATTTAGAGTTACAATCATTGCTTTTCTTTTAAAAGCATGTGCAAGTATAAACCCAACAGGTACATGTATGTGAGTACATGATCAGGGCAGGGGAGGCAACAGCATTTAATTTCAAGCTTTTTACCATAAACTCCAAGTCTCTGTTTCTTGGCAGTCCAAGTCTAGTGACTGAAGTATTGAGGAAGGTTTGCAGGTGCAATGTAGACAGGGAGGCTGAAAGATGCTACCACATATAAATGAACATTCTTTTTGTCAAAGTAAAAAGGAATCACATCGAAAGAAATATGCATCACCATTTATATGAATAACTACATTTCTTTTTACCCATAAATAATAATAGAAAACATTTTGAAAGGGTATAAAAAAATTAGGAGCAGTCTCCTGGGAATGGATTTCTGTTATTTTATGACATATTTTCAGATCTGAATATTTAAAGTTCAGGACCCTGTGCTTTCCACAGAAGCCTTGCCACACATCGCCCCAAGTAACTAACATGCAGTGCATAGATCAAGGCTTTTGCGTGGTGCTTGTTTCAGTGTTCGGTAACGGGTCTTCCAAGGACTCCTTTAAAACAAAATAATAACACACCCCATCAAGACAGCAGTTCAGGTTTGCCCAGGAAAGGGTGATCTGAACAATGTCTCGCACCACTTTTTGAAAACTTTTGTTAATTATGTCATTCTTCACCAAAAAGTACACCAAGTATGCCACGTGGTAGGGTGTGAAACAGATCAAAAATGCAACAAGGTTTGTCACCACGATCCTCTCTGCTCTGGTGGTGAGTGTTTGGGGGTTGTCTGGATTTCTGCACTTTCTCAAGCACCTGACAATTTGGGCAGTGCAGAAGGTCATGGTTGCCATGCTGCCAAAGAAGGTGATCTGCAAGGTGCTGAACAGGCCTATGTTTTTCCATATGTGCGTGGAGAAGTTATGGAAGCAGGATAAGATCTTGGGCGATTCATGCAGTTGTAAAGTACAGACTGTTCCCACTGAGGTGCCCAGGCAGATGACAACACAGACCAGTGCAGCTTTCTTGACGGATCGCAGGGTGAGAGCCATGAAAGGGTGCTGGATAACCATGTATCGGTCTATGCAGATGCAGAGGGAAATGAGGATGCTGCCATACATGTTTACAAAGTAAAGACTCTCCAAGGCAGAGCAAAACTTAGGCCCCAAGTTCCATGATGTGGCATTATGGTAGGAAATGATTTTAAAAGGAAGAGTAAGCAATAGCAAAGTATCCAAGAATATAAGGGCGATCATGTAGACTGTAGATTCTGACAGCTTTTTAACCTTAAAAAACAGGAAACACAGAGCCATCATGTTGAACAGCAATCCCACGGAAAGTGTGGGGATGTACATGACGAACTGGAACAGTTGCACAGTAGCACTGATACTGTTGTTGCCATAGGTGTCGTTCATATCTCCGGGTATGCTTGAAGAGAAGAAAATCACTTTCACCACAAGGAAGGATGAAGATCACATTTAACACACAGTACGAAAGCCAGTGAGGTCTCTGTGCATCCACAGACTTGGAGATGCTTTTTTTCTCATCTTGGGCTGCTGTGTGCTGAATTGCAGCTCCCAGTAACAGGGAGCTGCTCAGTGCCAAGGGATCCTGGGGAAAGGTTGTGCCTCAGGGAGGAGCAGAGCTTTCTGGGGTCCATGCCTTGCTTGCACTGTTACTTGCCACCCCAAACTCTGCTACCCTATAATTTAGCTAAGCAGAGTATAGATGTGAATGCACCACCCACATCTCTTTGCAGAACCAAAGCAGAAGTGCCTGATTTTAGGGTTTCTTGGACTGCAAAGGTGGAGACAATTTGTTGGATCTGGTTTCCTGTATCAAGCTATCGTAAGAGACCTTGGGGACCCAAGAGCATGAGGGTCCCCATGTTCATTAATGTGAAGGTCCCATACAGTTGTTGCCATCTTGCACCCTCTCCCACCATCCCTGGGCAAAGAGGGACTGTGATTACCTCTGACCCTTCTACAAGCTGTCTAAAATCAGCAGGCAGGAAGCTTCAAACAGGCTATTTCTAGCAGAAGTTCAATCTTTAGTAGAAGGGTGAGGTTTAAGAACCCAAGCTTTTGTCAAAATCACCCAGACTTACCACAGCAGAGACAGGGGTTGCAGGAAAGATGCAGCTGGATTCTTATCTGCAGGGAAGGGACTAAAAGTGTCGAGGTGAGCACTCTCTGACTTGGGTCATGAAGTAGTTATCTTCTTTAGAGGAAGAGTGCTGGCTTGATCCTTCTCTGAGACTCTCCTGGTAAGGACCAGAAGGTGCTCATTGGTTTCTGCAGTGCTGGTATCAGCTGAAATCAATTACAAATGCAAATGCCCAGGAATACCGTGCCCTTTCCTTCAGCCAGTTCTGTGATAGCAAATGTAACCCGTGAACAAAGCCTGTCGGAGATCTTTCTGTCAGTGCCCAGAAATTACTTTTGCTTTCTGTTCTCTAACTGTTACACGAGTTGCTGATTTCAATACTTTTCCATTTCAGATTTGCCAACCAGTTGTGAACTGTGCAAAGTTTCTATTCTGCAGATCAAGTCACACCCTGAGTGTTTCAGAGACAGCCTCTCCCTCTCTGTGGTTTGAGGGGGAATAAGATTTCTTTGAGAAACATTAGGCAAAACATTCAGCAAAAAGGAAATTTATTCCATACTAAGTAACTAGCAATTATTGTTAGGAAACCAGAGCAGGTTGGCTGTTTGCTCCATGAGGATACACTGATGCCATGTAAAGGATTCTGTACATTACTAATTTACATGACAGAGAAAACCAGCTCCAGAAACCCAGTTTGGGGAGGAGAATGGGGGCTGGGGGTGCAGGAGAGCATTTCTCTGGCAGGGTCAGGTGCAGAGATCCATCTGCAGAGCCTGTCCTGCTGTAGCAGGCAGAGGTTTCATTTGGTTTCCTGCAGTGGGCAGTGCTGCTGCCTGCATGAAGCACAAACAGCCTCCTTGCAGTGCTGAGGTGTGGGGAGACCTGGCTCAGTGGGGCAGCAGCCCTGGCAGCAGTGCCTGCTCTGCTGCTGTCTGCCAGGGGCTGAGGGGAGGCTCAGGGGAAATGATGACATTTCCTCGGCCAAATGGGAAAGGATAGGAAAGTCTGAGTTTGTGAAGTGCTTGGGGCTCTGAGGGGCTGAAGAGGAGAATCACTCCTTGCTATGCCACGGGTTGTTCACTGTCTGGGAGTTAAACTTGCTGACAGCCACAGGAGCTGTAGAGTTTGTTGGAAGCTGGGCTGGGTCCCTGAACCTCTGAATGCAGGTGGCCCATGACAGACAAGGGGTTACAGTGATGATGTGAGCAGAGATACTGCCCAGGACAAGAGGGTGATTTAGGCTTGGACACCCAGTATGCTGCTTTCTGGCTGAGTCACCTGCATCGAGTGAAGCACTGTGAGTCTAATGCTGGGAGGGAACCCATTACTGAGAGCAAAAAGGAAGGAACAGTTAATTAAGGGATTACTGAAAAGTAATAAATAATGACAAAATTTTTACTTCATTGCCTCTGTAGGGGATGTCATTAATACTTTCCTGTTTCTTCAGACTTGGTTTGTTAGTGTGTCTAGGAAATTCTGGGTCTAGAGAAATAGAAATTCAGCTTCTCACTAAGATGTTTAAGAGAGATCTAGTTATGATTAAAAGACATTTTAGACAAGAGTCTGTTTTCTAGATTTAAAAACACCCTGGCAAAAATCTTATTTAAAGCATAAATTCAAAGGGCAGCTTTGTTAATGTAGCTATGCTATGAGCAAAGCAAGTTATGTAAAACATACTTAGTTTTCAGATCTTGCAGCAAGAGGAAAGGTTTCAAGGCAAGGTTTTGCTATAGTGAAATATTCTCTCGTCTCCTTACCTTTGGGCTGGTTTTAGCTCTGGTTGTTGACTTTTTCTCCTTCTCAGCTTGTAGAATTCTGGAGTCTTGTGTTTTCTTTTAAGGCAGTTGGAGTGAGCTGCATGCAAAGCAACTGCTGGTCAGGATGTCAGAAAGCATGAAGTGCTGCAGCTTTTTTTTTTCATCACAAGTTTCCATTACAACATTGGTCTCCCCACACTCTGTCTGCATGCACGTACTATGTACATAGTATGTCACACAGCTCATTTAAGGATGTAAGTACATGGTTTTGTGGGGTAAATGTCACTGTGAGTCACCCATTAAAACTAATCTCCAGTAACAGAGAAGGAAATACTTTCCCTGCAGACTTTTCTGTTTTATTGGTTCAGGTTTTTTTCTACTCAACATGATTTTATTGATTGTATGTAACATCCATGGGTAGAGTTTTAGCTGTTGAAATGTGCTGTAAGCTAAATCCTGAGTTATTGCTTTCATTGTTTCCCTTACTTTTCATTATACCAAAAAGGAAATGATTGTTCATTTCAGTGGTGATCTGGTATGTTCACTTCAAGCTGGTATTTTAAAAAAGTCAAAGGTTACTTTTAAATCTGTTTATGCTCCTAGGGAGCAGGGACTATGGCCATGGAGAGTGTCAGGTGCTGATATTTTTTCAGGGAGAAATTATTAATTTTTCCTCTCCATTGTATGTGTGTTTGCAATCGTCTTACCAAAAGGGGAAAAAAGGCCAGAGGTGTAGTTGTGCTTGGTCCTCTGCATACTCCTTAAATATCAAAACTGAGGATTATATTGGCTAAATTAAAACTGTGCATCTGTGAAAGAGATGGGGGATAGGAGATGAGAGAAGAAGTAGTCCTCAGGGTTTCCCCGTGCTATTTTGGTCGAAATGACTCTACTTAAGGAAAAGCAAAGAAACACCACTAAGGGGGGAAAAACAAGACAGGTTTGAGTGAGTAATAACACCTCATCGCATGCCTCAGCTAGGTTTCACTAATGGTCTTGTGACCATGGCTGTCTCAGCAAAACACCCCACACAACACAGGCAGGTACTACCACCATGGAGAGGCATCTGAGGGCAATGGGGAACCAAGGCTACTGTCAGCATGGACATAAGCCCAGCAGCCAGAGCAGTCCCTGTGCTCCTGCCCTGGCCTGGCATTTGCAAATGCCAGTTTTGACACTGCCACCAACACTCAGAGTGGGTGCTCTCACTTCTACATCAAGGTTTTCCCCTCGCACACTTGGGGCTTTCTTTTTTCTCTTGTTTTCTCTTTGACATCCATATTCTGATGCCACCTAAGCACTGCCTGCCTTGCCAGAGGCTGCCCAGGAGCAGGTCCCAGGGTGTGCCTCCCTGTGTGTGTGTGGCACAGAGCCTTGTGTGGCTACATGTCTGGAGAAAGATACTTTGGAAACAGGAGGATGAGGAAGCAGGAAAGTTGGGGTGTGTCTAGCACCACCAGCGGTTGGTGTACTTTTTTTCCCAACAATATCCTTGTGAGTTTTTTGGGAAAGAGGATAATGGCCAGGAAGGTGTTCAGGGAGTACAAATGCACTTGGGACAAGGTGTGAAGCTTCCTTTCCTTTCAGAGCGGCATGGTTGAAAAAATGTGATGTTGAGGACTAATGGAGAGGGTAAAATGAACCCAAGCGAGCAGCATAATGCAAAGGATGGAATAGCCCATGGAGAATTCTCAGAATGTTCTTTAAGAGCTTACTTGGGGTGCAGAGGTAAGAAAGCAGTGGGCTTCCAAGGTACCTTGCTTTTCTCGACACAGGCCCTACTCTGTGCTAATGGGACATGTTCTCTTTACAAGTTCCTCAAGACTAACTGTGGGTCCCTTGGAGACTAGGGAGAAGAGGGACAACTCTTCAAATTCCCTTGTGTCCTTGGCACCTCTGTGTGTGTCACCAATGCCACCAGTGCTGTGAATCATCTCCATGCAATTTCAGATGCTGAATGCATCATCTTATGCCTTTTTCCTGATGAAGGAACTGTTTCATGCTTTTTTTTTTTTGCTAATATTGAGGACTTTGCTGTATTGGCATTGCCACATAGACCTCCCCTTGATGCCACACACTCATCCCTGGGTGGCAGCCAGTGAACCTCTGCTGATTTCCTGTGCTTGCCAACAGCTTGCCAACAGCACTTCAAGGGGAAGGCCAACCTTCCTCTTGCAGTGCTGTGCCACCCATCCCCAGGCATTGTTGGTCTATTGCTGTGCCCTAACACTGGACCACTGCAGAGAGCAGTCTCATGGTCCTGGCTCTCCTGCTGTCATCCTTTCTGTTTAAGAGCTAAATCAGTAACTATTGTACTACATGGAGTTGTGCCATGAAGATATGATGGGTTTTTTTTTCTTGTTCTCAATCAGAGTCTAACCAGTGAGAAAAATATTAGCTCTGCTTGAGAAGAGAAGGCATGCATTGCTGTGATCGAAGACTGCCTGAAGCCTCTGGGTGAGGCAGAACTGGGATGAAAGGTCCCATCACCTGAATCTGGTGGCCCTGCAGAACCGTTTGTAACCGAGTTGCTCCATCTCGTGGCTACAGGA